TAGTGGGGTTTTTGGGGCTGCCATACATGAAAGTCTCTCTCTCTCTCTCTCTCTCTCTCTCGGCGCAGCCCTATCTATCCACCTCCTCGTCTTTCATAGTGCTTGGCGAAGCCCTACTGGAGAACCACACTGCTCCACCACAACCACACCGTCGTGCTGCTGCTGGAGTTGTCTTCCCCAACCTCTCCCTCCTCCTTGCTGGATCAAGGCGCGGGAGACGTCACCGGGCTGCACGTGTGTTGAACGCGGAGGCACCATTGTTCGGCGCTTAGATCGGAATCGACCGCGATATGAATCTCTGCGTGTACGACTCCACCAACCACGTTCTTGTAATGCTTCCACTTAGCGATCTTCAAGGGTATGAAGATGCACTCCCTCTCTCTCATTGCTAGCATCTCCTAGATTGATTTTGGTGACCCGTAGGAAACTTTTGAATTATTGCTACGGAACCCAACACTCCATTGTTGCTCCAAAGCTCATTTTCGCCCGATCTCTCTCCCTAGCCAATCAAACTTGTTGATTTTCTAGGGATTGGTGAGAAGGCCCGGATCTACACTTCCACCAAGAGAAATTTTATTCCCCCCACTAATCCCTTGCGGATCTTGTTACTCTTGGGTGTTTGAGCACCCTAGACGGTTGAGTTCACCTCGGAGCCATATTCCACCATGGTGAAGCTCCGTGGTATCGCTGGGAGCCTCCAATCAAGTTGTGGAGATTGCCCCAACCTTATTTGTAAAGGTTCAGTCGCCGCCTTCAAGGGCACCACTAGTGGAATCACGACATCTCGCATTGTGTGAGGGCATGAGGAGAATACGGTGGCCCTACTGGCTTCTTGGGGAGCATTGTGCCTCCACACCGCTCCAACGGAGACATACTTCCCTCAAAGGGAAGGAACTTCGGTAACACATCCTCGTCTCCGCTGGCTCCACTTGTGGTTATCTCTTCCCTTTACTTTGTGCAAGTTTATATTGTGTTGTATCATTTGCTTACACTTGTTGTTGTGGTTGTTTGCATCATATAGGTTGTTCACCTAGTTGCACATCTAGACAACTTATTTGTTGCTAAACCTAATTTGTGAAGAAAAGCTAAAAATTGATAGTTGCCTATTCACCCCCCCCCTCTAGTGAACTATATCGATCCTTTCAAAAAGGTTAGCAACAAGCTCTTTGTCCTTTTTCTCAATTTCTCTATCTTTGGTCAGTGCTTCCAGCGACGTAAGCACAAATCTATGATCATATGGCAGTTCTCTTCTTATTGGCTGATCAACACCTGCAACACATGGAGCAAGTTCACAAATCTAGGGGAGGAGTGATGACGATGACGCATGCGTGCTATCTCGACGAGACCCTCTCTGGAGTGATGTGTGTGGGGTATGTTATGTGTGCCGCTCAGCGGTTGTGATGGTTTCTGGCCGGTTCTCCATAATTAACTAGCAATCTGGTTTTTGCTCCGTTTTCCCCAATTAAGTGAGCAACTCTTTTCTTAATGAATGCAAGATAACTGCCATTTCGAAGAAAAAAATCTCTGGTTATGTACCCAAGTTACCTGCATGATCTTGATTTGCATCAACATGTGCATCTTCCTCTTCTTCTTTTTGACAAATGTCTCTTCCTCTTCTTGATTTAACTCATGATCATGATCTTCATTTGCATCAACATGTGCATCCTCTTCTTGATTTAACTCATGATCATGATATGCATCCTCCTCAGCAGAAGAGCGCGGTCGCTAGAGCAGCGCCTGCCTACGTGGATCTATCGCACTGGATCGTGGCCTGCCTGCTCGCCGGCGCCTGGATCTGTCACGCTGGATCACGGCCTGAAGCACAGCAGCCCGGTAGGGAGGCAGAGGCGTCGTGCTATGGGGAGGCAGAGCTGGGGGAGGCGGAGGGTGCGGCCTAAGAACTTTTTGAAATCTGGAGGGTCTGAATGTAAAATTAATTTTGTGTACTAATTTTTGTCTGTTGGCGACAAGTAATTTGGTACGGACGGAGTAAAATATGGGTCAAACATAGCGTTAGCATATTTGAGCAAGTAGGAGTAGGCAAAATGGCCCAAATGCTCATCTATTAATTTTGACTTATAGTGTATATAAACTTCCAGAAACACTCAAAGCTTACATACACTACCTGCTACTAACAGAAAAAGAAGTCTAGAAAAGACACCCACCATGGATTTTTTTCCCCTCCAGGTCATTTCTCTATCTAGACAGAATGTGAAAAATACTCCAAAATTACGAGAAGGCAAACGGTAAAAGAGACCAAAACTAGACCAACACTAGGTTATTGACATTGATCTGACTATCTGTATATTGCTAAAGTTGCATTGCAGCTAGCTGAACTTGGCTTCAATTTAGACAGAAGATTGCTGGTTGCAATGGACTATGAGATATGCTCTTCGACACGACTTCATCATGCCTCCTCGGACGGAGAAAGTATCTCCGATTCTTCTGGTGAACCAACCTCCTCTGATACATCTGCAAGTGCCTCGAGCATGTTCAAAACATCATTAGTATCGTCCAAATAATACTTGGCCTTGCTTGGTTTCTGGCCGACTGTGCAGGCATAGAGCGAGGTTTGGGGATCAACAATGCTCCGCCTCATAATATCAGCTATTCCTTCAAACATATCCTCATCTGATCGATCATCACCTATGCAGAGGACAAAATCTGCTTGTCTTTTATTCTCTGTCAGCATCGATAGGATCTTCTCCGCGACAAATCCCTTGCTGACACTCTGCAATCCAACAGAAGCATTTTATGAACTCTGGGAAGGCAGCAAGTAAATGGTTGCCAGACAAGAAATCAGTTTCCAGAAAGAATCCAGGATTTGTTTAATGAACTAGTATATTATTCACTGTCAATATATATAGGCCCCTCACAAGTTAGCATGCAAAATTCACTATCACAAGTGGAGGATCACAACACATAAAGATGAGACATTAGATTCTATATTATTGTGGCCTAGAAATCACGGTAGATAATATTGCGCTGAAAATCAGCATCTACTGACAAATAATGGCTTGCTCATCTCCACAATACTAGATTCAGTATTTTGCTTCTGAGGGACTACAAAATACTAGATGTATGATGTATGGAGAAAAGTAGTACCTGAGGTTTAACCTCTACAATGTGTTGGCCACTCTTCACAGAGACTGGCTCATTGGCAAGAACACTCTCCAAATGATCTAACATTTCTTTTGCTTGTGCAGATCCAAAACCAGGGTCAGCATCTTGGTGGTGCCAGACCAAAGCACTCTCTTTGGTTTCGATATACGATCCATCAGTAGCTTCTGTATACAGGTTCATTACTGGCTCAGCCATTTGCATCCATCCAAACTCTGAGCACTGGTTATTTATTTGCCATTGCTCATCTCTGGTTCGCCTGACAAGGAATAGCTGTTGAGGTGAAACTTGCCATAGAACTGAATATTTCAATTCAAATTAACCCCATGAATACAAAGAGAATAACATTAAACAAGGCACAAACTGAAAATTAAGAACGTGTTAATTATATGCAGGATGAAGAACTGATTCCACTTGTCTCCCAGCTGTTATATAGTTCAACATTCACTGGTATTACTGTTTGACTGGGCTATGAGACTTGCACCTAATGGTTGCTGCTGAAATAATTTCTACCAACTGATGGTACTAAAAATCTTCCAATTTTTATCAGCATGTTGTATAGTTGCATATGCATACTGGTCTTACTTCACCCTAACCGAAAGAAAGTTTCCCTATCCAAGTTTAGCCCGATGAGGTTGACACATGAATGTTCATGCAATGGTAAGTACTCAGTAGATCCATTGACAGTAGGTTTCTCCCCCACTGTTTCCCGCACAAAATCCATCCATGGTAAATGCCTAACAGTACAAGTGCAAAGTGCAACCAAATAGATTCAAGAGACTTCATGGTAATCACAGCTCTATACAAGAAGCCTTCCCTTTTCTTAAGCACTTACGGAGTTACAGCTTCAATGCATGACTCATGGCTAACATGAGAACTACTAGGGTACAGCCTCTCATTTTGTGAACTCTTGAATTGGTCCACAAACATATACTGCTTTTTTCTACTGTAATTTCATCCTCATTTAAGTAAAGTCAATATATTAGTCATGGTCTTAGTATTTGTAGGCTCCCCTACTGGTGATCTGGATGATGTTGATGTGGCAATATCTGATATACATTCAGAACCAACATTCAAATTTATAATTGATGATGCATGTTGTTACTTTTACCCAAGGAATGGGTCTACATGGAATGATGTATTGATATCTGCTGTCCCCAGAAAACCAATGGAAGTATGATCCTGTACCCCACAACATAAGATCTGAGAAATTAAATGGTTGTTCAAATGATCGTTCTATGATCACCACGTCATATGCCATAATATTGTTAATACTTACATAAAACACAGAACTCTATTTTTTCATATATTTTTTCTGAGTGTCTGAAATATAGTTGATTTTGCATTTGTTTATACTTGAAGCCGGAAACAAGTACCAGTGAAAGTATCAGAAGGCGCAAAGGCAATGCAAGACATGTTAAAAAAAGTAATAATCGTAATTGAAAATTCAAGAAAATTAAGTGAGAGCATACCTCATAAAGTAACCATGTTCAGCCGCAATGCCAAGCTCAGGGCAAGAGTTGAACCACTTCTCAAGGCTACTCCTACCTCTTCCACTTACAATGAAAACAACATTCTTCTTATCAGCACACAGAGCATTCATGATGTTAACAACAGTCTCATTTGGAGTTCGATTGATCGTAGTTTGTGGTACTAGAGTTCCATCATAGTCCAGAAGTATAACCCTGCTGTTCGACTTCTTGTAATCAGCAACAATAGAATCCACAGTAAGCTTTTTGAAGTTGCGGTCTAGAGCAACCACTCTAAATCCAAATCCAAGTCCAATACCCCAGCACCTCCTCCTAAAATGGTCCCTGCAGCTTCTCTCCAGATCATGAATATAGCTCTTAGACCAATAGGCAACATCATGTGTGCTGACATATCGATAATGCTTCTCATGGCGCAATTGGTTTTCATTCTCTGACAAAGCAATGGACTCGTTCATTGCCTCTGCTGTTGTATCAATGTTCCAAGGGTTCACCCGGATTGCTCCACTCAATGATGGCGAGCAACCTATGAATTCTGACACGACTAGCATACTCTTCCTCTTTGGTGCATCACCACCATCCAAACCAGGAATCCCCTGTCTACACACAATGTACTCATATGGTGTGAGGTTCATCCCATCCCTCACTGCAGTAACAACGACGCACTCAGCCACAGTGTAATATGCCATCCTTTCCACACTCGACAAAGTCCTATTAACAAGCTCCACGGGACTATACCCCGACCGCCCAAACTGTTCATTAATCCTCGTGCAACTTTCCTCGATCTCAGCCTTTAATCCTTGCACGTCCTTACCACTACCACCCCTTGGGTTTGCAATCTGCACTAGCACTGCTCGGCCCTGCCATTTTGGGTGTGTCTTGAGCATATGCTCAAACGCAAGAATCTTCAGGTTAATCCCCTTGAATATGTCCAGATCATCCACACCAAGCAAGACAGTCTTCCCGTTAAACTGCTTCCGTAGCTCTGCAACACGCGACTCCAGATCAGGAAGCTGGAGCTGCGATTTAAGCTGCATCATGTTAATCCCAACAGGCATGATCTTTATCCCCACAGTGCGGCCAAAGTAATCGAGCCCAATGTAGCCTCTCTTGGATTGGTACTCGATTCCGAGCATGCGGCTGCAGCAAGAGAGGAAATGGCGGGCGTAATCAAAGGTATGGAAGCCAATGAGATCACAGTTGAGCAAGGATTTGAGGATCTCGTCACGGACGGGCAGGCTACGGTAGAGCTCCGATGATGGGAAGGGGCTGTGCAGGAAGAACCCGATGCGGAGGCGGTTGAATCGGCGGCGCAGGAAAGAGGGGAGCGCCAGGAGGTGGTAATCGTGGATCCAGATGTAGTCGTCCTCGGGGTTGAGGACCTCGATGACGCGCTGCGAGAAGAGTTTGTTGGCAAGGACGTAGGCCTCCCAGTTGGAGCGGTCGAAGCGGCCACCATGATCGGAGGTGAAGGGGAGCATGTAGTGGAAGAGCGGCCAGAGGGTCTGCTTGCAGAAGCCGTGGTAGAAGCGGTCGGAGAGGTCCTTGGGGAGGAAGGCCGGGACGCAGCGGAACCTGTCGAGGAGCGCCTGCGCGACGTCTTCCTGCTCGGCGGCTGGCACGTCGGCGCGGAGGGAGCCGACGTAGAGGACCTCCATGTCCTCGGGGAGGCCGTCGCGGAGGTGGAGCAGGAGCGAGTCCTCGTCCCAGCAGAATGTCCAGCCGCGGCCGTCAGGTCGGCGCTCGCAGCGCACGGGGAGCGTATTGGCGACAACGATGATGCGGTCGTTGGCGAGCGACGACTGCACGTCCGAAGCTACGCTCCCCGCGCGCTCCTCGTCGAGCTCCGCCAGCGTGCCCGGCGTCGTCAACGTCCTCTGCATCCGCCTCGGACGCGGCGGCCGCCCGCCGCCACCCCCGCTGGAGCCCCCGTAGTCGAGCGCCGAGAGATTCCCATTGGCGAGATCGAGCAGGTTGGTGTAGGATCGCGAGAACATGGTGGCGAGACGATCGAAGCCCGCTCGTTCGTGCCCTCTCCGCCTCGATCGAATAGCTGGATCGATCCAATCCAATCTAGTTGGCCTCAGACCCGATCCTCCCGATGCTCCTCCCCCGCCTGAGCCCTACGACTAGGAGCGGCGCCGGAAGATGCGGCGTGCAGGAGGTGACGAGGGGGGAGAGCCCAGGGAGGAGGGCACGGGGGAGGTGCGTGCGACACGCAGCTCTGAAACGGGGCAGATATTTTATTCGCAAAAGGAGAGGCAAGTCCGTTCCATCTGGGCCGCGCAGAGACTGATCGGACGGACGGTGTTCACGAGGCGACGTGGAAGGCCTACACCAGCAGCTGCGCACATGCGGGAATGCCTACCAGGGAGGCCTAGACCTCTCACTGGGCCATGGGGCCAACCAAGATGGAACGAATGGCTCGAGCATCCAGCCGGTTGGGGGGCTGCGGGAGGAAGGAGGCACGCCTGACGCGGACAAAAGCTGAAACAGAGTGAAGTCTGAAATAAACCTTAAACTCGTACGCCTCGTTGGAATTAAATCTTCATCTTTGAATTTCTGAAATCGATACCCTGTACTCTTTGATCCTGATCAATTCTAACCCTAACCCCGTTTGGCGCACCAGGAAGAGGTCGTTCCCGACCAGGATCATAGGATATTCTCACTGACATCTCGACCCCACCTGTCATTTTCATGTTCCTCCTTAGATCTTGTTTAGTTTTATGCTAGCTTAAAGAGAAAATGCAAATCTTTGGAGCGAAGGTACTGCGATTTTGCTACGGTATACAGAGTTAACCGGGACCTACCTAGACCTATAAATCGTTAAATAAATAAAAGGATTCTCATGGCGCGTGCTTTCTAAGCTCAAATCCTGAAGGCCTACAAGGGAGAGTCAAACTACAAACACAGGAAGAGGCCACTTTGCCTTCGGCTAGCAGGGGATGGAATGGAACCCAGCCCCGTCGCCTCTGTGCCCGGTGAGCACCCTCACCTGTCTGCCCAGGGCGCGCCTACATGGCATACCGCATTGACCCGTACACGGCTGTACTATATAGTTTTGCCCGTTGTTTGCCACGGTCCCGCCGGCCTTCGCGGAGTCCGAGCAGGTGCCAGGACGGGGAGAACGCAGCGTTCCGTCTCGCGCACCTCCTGTCACTTGCGTCGACGCTATCTAGGTGGCCTTCCGCGGCCGGCAACCTCGCCGAGGCACACACGGTGCTAGCGCCGGTGATCTCCACGGCCACCGGGATCGGCCGCGTCACCAGCAGCTTCATCATCATGCTATCCCGGCGCCTCATGCCGACTTCCCCGTGCCTCGTCGGTTGCGGCGTAGCACGCCGGCGAGCTCTACAGCCCGCTCCACTACGAGGCCACGATGGAAGCGTTCAGAGGCTGCACCCGCGTACAGCTTGTGGAGTGAACCAGTACGGGCTGGTCGGAGATGGGGAAGGGTTCATGGAGGCAAGGGCAAGAAGCGACGGGATTCATGGAGAGGGTAGTACTGCGAGGGGTATTTTTCTGGAATAAAACCAGTACGGGCTATGGAAGATAGATATGACAAGTGGGACCACATAGTCATTGGGAGCAAAGAGTTATCCTGGTAAGGATTAGCTTTTTCCTGGTGCACCAAACTGATGTACATTGGTATTAGGGTTGAGTTTGATCAGGATCAAAGAGGACAGGGTGTCGATTTCAGGGATTGAAAGGTGAGGGTTTGATTCCGACGAGACGTACGAGTTCAAGGTTTATTTCAGACTTCACTCTAGGACTAGGCGATAATGGCCGTGGGCCCGTGTTTGCATAAGCCCACGTACTCCATGTGTTTTTTAACGCAATATGATTGAGACTAGTGGATGGGGCGTGCCCTGGACGCGCCTCTTGAGGGGTGAGTTTGCACATCAATCTAGTTGTTTTAGTTGTCAACGTTTATGTGTAGTCCATATGAGCGCCAGTTGCTAAAAAAATACATTTAATAGAGATGCAGCCGTACAGTGTTCAGTCATAATGCAAGATATGTACATGGAAGTGCTGGTCAACTCATATGACAATTGTTGAAAACTGCAGCAACAGAGTGTTCCCTCATAAAGAAGAGTAAACTAATAGGTCTGTCATGGATGGCTGATCAGATACACAGCCATCCTTCCCTCTAGTCAACACAGGCATATAAAAAAATAGAAAAGGAGGATTATCCTCGGCCTCTGCATCAGAATGATGCATGCAGCCCTAGGCATATCAGATTGCATGCAAAGAAAAAACTAACGGAGGTAATAACTGGTTACAACGGACTGAAATAAACAACCATGAACATAACAAAAATGCAGACGCCTAAAAACTAATTTACCAATAAATCCGATCTATTTGATCTAAAACAGGAAGAGTGGATAATGAAAAGAGCAAGATAATCCGTCATGGATCTTCCTAAAGGTCTTGCGCAGACGGTACAACACATAGATTAGCAAGGCCTTCTTGTTCCCAACAACATCCATCTAGATTATCTACTTACATTGCAGTGTTGATGTACATGTCCTTGAGGTCATCCCTGAGCTCCTGATTGCCTTTCTTCACGTGAAATAAAGCCTACAGATATATTAAGCAGCACAAGCATGTCAAACCTTGACAAACCAAAATGAAAGAGTATTTCTAGATACAGAAACGAAACACATGAATGGCACAAAGCCAACGACAAGAGGGACGCAAGATAGAAGCTCACCTGCGCGACGCTAACCTCGAATTTGGAGGGCTTGACGCCCTTGTTCTTCCAGATCTTCTTCCTGGCGGTGTACATCTTGATCAGTGTCGTTACATGAGATGAAATCAAACCTTTCTCTGCATCTTGAATCATATTGCAAATAGAAGTGCACACAATCTGGTAAACAAACTACATTCCTATTTGGTTGTCCTTGCAAAAAATGATTGTTCTTTGATATGCATAAAACCGACAATTTTGTATGCCAAAATTTCTTTTGCAAACGGAAGGGTGATCCAATAGTACATTGAGGACTTAATGCCCAGCCATCTACAACACCCTCTGGATCAGACCAAAGAAGGTCCCACTTGGCACCATCATAAGGCACTTTCTGCTTGCGATCTATTATTCTGATCTGTTAGGTGCACATGATAATAGAATAACAGAAATTGAATGCATGAGCTACAATGCACAACCAATATATTTCTATTCACATTTGCAATTTGTCCACGTGTCATCTTATATGTTTTGTGCCCAATACAGCAAGTATGAATCCAAGCGACCCAGACAATACGTTCATAGCATCAAAACCTAAAAAAAGAAATGAGGTTTGGGGTTGGGGCCAAAGCAACTACCTGAACTCCCAAGAAATCTGCTACTAACCAAGGCTCTGACAGAAATGTGAGGCGACAATCAGCACCGAAGGTAGTTACCTAAAAAACAAATTAGGTAGTACACAAAAAATAGTCAATCAGGTGAATGTGAAGCAAAGAAAAACAAAGCTAAAATCCAAAAAAGAAACACCCAGCAAGGAGCCGAAATAGCCCAAGAAACAAAATCTGAAGATGCATTAGAGGCAAGAAGAAGAAAAAAAAAGAATAAGACCTGAGCACGGGCAATCTATCATCCTTAAATCTTGGAGAAGAACTCCAAATTTTAACTAGAGGCCCTTTATGATCCTAAATAACTTACCGGGTGTCCGGGTCCATAGAAAATAGATAGCAAATTTATCCAAGTAGAAAAGAAACCTCACTTGAAGTATGACATTATAACAAACATGTGATGGGCAAATCATACGTAGTGTCATCTCTAGCATGCTTAATTCATCCTAGTAAACAGAGATGCCATCCTAGAATAAAGGAAAAACAAAACAACAAACTAATGTAATAACACGTCTAACAATCTAGAAATAGGGAGCAAGTAAAGGGAAATTACTGAAACATGGGGATGAGCTGATCACAGAGAGTATAACCCAAGGGGTAATAAATCAAAATAAATATCGAGAATATGTGGGAGGAAGTGGCAGCTCTACCTGGGCACGATATGGAGGAGGAGGCAGTGCTATCGACGGATGTTCATCACAGCAATCCCTTGGTGACATCACCGGCTGCACAACTCTGTGTTCCTGCAAGGAGGAGCACATACATAATGAGAGAGAGAGAGAGATGAGGCGGTGCCGGCGGCCCCGGCGACTCCTGGCCCCTTGCGCAGCTCCCCGGCAGCGCTACAACGACGCGAACGGCTTTCTCCCAGTGGCGCGGCCAGATCATGGAATAGGTGGAGGTGACGATGGTGACGAGGGCACTTCCAGTGGCCATCGTCTACGAGTACGCAGAGCCGCGGAGGTGTCGTGGAGGAAGAGGAGGCGACGCACGAAGGACTGGCGTGCGGCCGCGACGATGACGGCGAGGGAGCAGGGCTGTGGAGGCGTCCGGTTAGAAAGATGATGATGCGGAATCCAGGAAGCCATCTCCTTTGCCTACAGGTGGTCGTCGACGAGAGGACCGGAAGGAAAGAGGCAAGGGCAACAGGTGGCCTGATTCATGGCGGAAGGTTGGCTTCGTGGGGAAGGCAAGCAAAGAAATTTTACCCGGTAAAGGCGTTACCCCAGGACGCATTTTCTGCTCCCAATCGCTTCTTTTTCTTTACTTCAGCACAGTAAAACGGGACGTGGCTATCGCCAAGGTTCACCCTTGACACACACCTTAATGTGTTTAATCGTTCGAGCACACACTATTTTTTTCGCGAATACGTAAAGCATGCGTACCATTCCATTGATAAAAGAAAATTAGAACAAGCACAAAAATGTGATACAACACATGACACGGATTCGTAAAAAAAACACATGACACGGACACAAGAGACGTGAACATGATGATCTGAGTAGAGAAACAGGGGACGCTCGGCTCAAAATGAGAAAAACACAGCAAAACTCGCCATCCTGAGAAGTAGCCCAAACTGTCGGCGTCCTGGGAACGGGGGTCCCAGACTTGCCTACCTGCAGCCCACGGCGTGGCTCCACCAGCGGCCCTATACGGCTCATCCTCATCAGCGAACACTCAAGACCCTCGTGAGGGGCCAAGCCCCGCGAGACGGACGACGCAAGACCTCCTCGGGGACGGCCTCACCAGGCTGGCTCGCGAGGGGCGGAGAGATCAAGGCGAGGGGCACCTCGCGAGGTCCCTGTGACGCAAGCCATGACGACCAAGGTCAGGCGGGCGCCAGCGTGCGCAGTGTACTCGTTTCCTCTTTGGTGCGAAAGAGGCAAGCGCAGGCGAGGAGTCCTGAGGCATCAGGCAAAGATTTCCATATTGCTGCAACAAGACCAAGACCAGCAGGACGGCAGGACGGAGGTCACCATGGAGCCCAGGACGGCGTCACCACCAGAGCTGTGACGCCCCCGATTTGACCATACATTAATCATACACGCAAACATGTACGATCGAGATTAGGGACTCACGGGAAGATATCATAACACAACTCTAGACACAAATTAAAATAATACAAGCTTTATATTACAAACCCCAGGCCTCGAGGGCTCGAATACATAAGCTCGAATACACAAGAATCAGCGAAAGCAAAAATATCTGAGTATAGACATAAGGTTAAACAAGTTTGCCTTAAGAAGGCTAGCACAAATTGGGATACAGATCGAAAGAGGCGCAAGCCTCCTGCCTGAGATCCTCCTAAACTACTCCTGGTCGTCGTCAGCGGCCTGCACGTAGTAGTAGGCACCTCCCGAGTAGTAGCATTCGTCATCGACAGTGGCGTCTGACTCCTGGACTCCAACGCCTGGTCATAACAAACGGGTATAGAAAAGGGGAAAAGGGGGAACAAAACAACCGTGAGTACTCATCCAAAGTACTCGCAAGCAAGGAGCTATACTACATATGCATTGGTATCAATGAATGGGGGTAGTATACGTGGACTGAACTGCAGAATGCCGGAATAAGAGGGGGATAGCTAGTCCCGTCGAAGACTATGCTTCTGGCCGCCTCCATCTTGCAGCATGTAGAAGAGAGTAGATGGTAAGTTCACCAAGTAACATCGCATAGCGTAATCCTATCCGGTGATCCTCCCCTTGTCGTCCTATAAGAGAGCGATCACCGGTTATATCTGGCACTTGGAAGGGTGTGTTTTATTAAGTATCCGGCTCTAGTTGTCATAAGGTCATGGTACAACTCTGGATCGTCCTTTTACCGAGGGACACGTCTATTCGAAAAGATCAACTTCCCTATAGGGGTGCACCACATTTCCCAACACACTCAACCCCCTTTGGCCGGACACACTTTCCTAGGTCATGCCCGGCCTCGGAAGATCAACATGTCGCAGCCCCACCTAGGCACAACAGAGAGGTCAGCACGCCGGTCTAAATCCTATGGCGCAGGGGTCTGGGCCCATCGCCCATTTCACACCTGCACGTTGCGAACACGGCCGGCGAGCAGACCTAGCCTCCCTTATACAAGAGCAGGCGTTCCAGTCTAACCCGGCGCGCGCTGCTCAGTTGCTGACATCATGAAGGCTTTGGCTGATACCACGATGTCGAGTGCCCATAACTGTTCCCGCGTAGTTGGTTAGTGCGTATAGGCCAGTGGCCAGACTCAGATCAAATACCCAAATCTCGTTAAGCGTGTTATTTTGAAATAACCACGGATGCCGACCAGGGCCACGCCCATCTCTCTCCTAGGTGGTCTCAACCTACCCTGTCGCTCCGCCACAAAGATCCACTCAGAGGGCCGTCCGGACAAACGTCCTTTCAGACCCAATCCGTGAATCACTCGTGGGTACTCTACGAGCCGACCCGACTTTAGTCACCACAAGTAACATATAATATGTATAAGTATATACCCGTGATCACCTCCCGAGTGATCACGGCTCGATAGTATAGCATGGCAGACAGACAAGAATGTAGGGCCACTGATGATAAACTAGCATCCTATACTAAACATTTAGGATTGCAGGTAAGGTATCAATGACTGTAGCAACAAAGACAGGCTAAGCATCATGATAGGATTAACGGAAAGCAGTAACATGCTACTCTAATGCAAGTAGTAGAGAGAAGAATAGGCGATATCTGGTGATCAAGGGGGGCTTACCTGGTTGCTCTGGCAAGAAGGAGGGGTCATCGTCGATGTAGTCGAACACAGGGGTACCGACAGCGGTCTCGGGGTTTACCGGAAAGAAGTAACAAAGGGGAACACAATAAATAATAGAGCAATCAAAGCATCACAAGGTGTAACATGGCATTACGCGGTGCTAGAGGTGATCTAATGCAGGGATATGTGATACCGGCGAAGGGGGGAAAACACCCGAGAAATTATTTTCGGTGTTTCGCGTCTTCAGACAGACGAACCGGAGGGAGAAAGTTGCATGTTCACTATGCTAGGAACATGTGGCGGACGAAAGGACTACGTATTTAGACGTCTCATCATTCTGAGCAACTTTTATATATAAAACTTTTTCATCCGAACTACGGATTTATTTTATATTAATTTTTAAAGATTTAATCATTTAAAAAAATATTAATTCGAATTTTGGCAGAAATACTATTATTACATAGTAGTGTGCCAGCCACAGTCAATGACATGTGAGGCCAGGGAGCTGGGTTGACCCAGTCAACATTTGACTTGTCAACATGTGAATAGTAGAAGTAGATCCCGCATGTCATAGGCTATACCTAAACAAATAAATAAATATTAACCTAATTAATGGGGTCCACATGTCATATGCTAGTAGGTAACCTAACTACTAATTAACCCTATATACTAATTGAACAGGGGGCCGGCCTCACATCTAGTGGATGTGTTGCTATGGCCAACACAGCACGCACGGGCGCATGGCAAAAATGGCCATGGCCAAGCACCAGCAGCAGCCATCGGACGAGCAGTAAATAGCAGGAGGTAGCAGGTAGTGGCATGAGCAGCAGAGCAGCAGCATCGCGTAGCAAGCAGCAGGAGTAGCGCGGCAGCACCAGTACGCGGCAAGCAGCAACAACACAGCAGCGACAGTTAGGAGCAACAACAAAGCATGCATCGGCACCGGCAGCGACGTTCGACGCAGCAGCAGGCACGGGGCTGCGCGGGCGCGCACGCACGCGCAGGGCGCGGCCGGCGCGTTGGCTGGGCGGGCGGTGGACGCAGAGTGCGGCGTGGGGCGGCCAGGGTCACGGGCGAGCACGCGCGGTGCGAGCTCCGGTCATAGCGGTCAAGCACGGGAACGGCCTCATCAGCGACAGATCGAGGCAGCGAAAGGGGGGATCCGGGAGAGGAGCTCACTGTGAGCGCGATGGCGAGGCCGGGGAGGCCAGGGGCGGTCTGTAGCAGAGGCAATGACGACATGGTGGTGTCGGCCATGGTGGAGAAGACCGGTGATGGCGACGTCTATGCGGCGCCTTGGCTTGATTCGGTCCCCGGGACGGACGAAGTCGACCGTGGCGGACCTCCTCGACGTGCTCCCGCACGCCGGAGACGCCGGTGGCCGCGTCAACGACCAAGAGGCAACGGTCACCACGGATCTTTCGAGCTCAGATTCGGGCAGTAGAGGAAGGGGGCGAAGGGGGAATGAAAGAGGGCAGTTTAGGGTTTCCAGAGGACGTATATATAGCCTTGGGGAGGCAACGTGGTGGCCATCCACGGGCATGGCGCCCTATGTGCGCCACAACCTCCTATCTCCTATACAGAGGAGGAGGACGAGGTGGAGGTGGGCTGGGCTCCCACTGTGCACTCGAAGTCCAGCAGTGCAGTGTAACACTGGCCCATTTCCAATTTCTATTCTGTTAGCAATTTTTCTCTCTTGCTTTCTATTTTAATTTAGAATTAAATGAGTTTTGTTAAATCTGAGACTTGTCACATAATTCAAGCACATTACTATTAGGTGCCACAAAAAGTTTGAGGTCATATAAAATGGTTTAAATATTTTTAGAAATCGAAAAAGGTCATGTACTGTGTTGTTGGTTCACTAAAATAATTTACAGGGGCAATTTGGAAGTCCAAATAATGTTGAACTAGTTTTTTTATAATTTCTTTGAGATTATTTGAAATACTATGCACTATTTTATTTGCAACTTTGAAAATCTAAATATTTGACTTGCATTCAAATTGGATTTGAATTTAATTATTTTTTTATCGAGAGGCAAATTGTCTTAGTAATTCTTGATGACAAGGCACCATTAGTTTGGGTTACCATAGCATGATTATCGCGGTGTTACAAATCTCCTCAACTACAAGAAATCTCGTCCCGAGATTTAGGAGGGGAGGGATTGGGTTATGAAAAATCTAACGGATCTTCTCGGTCTTGGTTGCTCTTCTCGAAGAGGTCG